CAATCAGAATCATATTCAACGGTCGCCATCCTATTCAAATTCTACCTACTCTTCCATTCATTGTTTCCGTTTCATATGCATCCCTTCATCTTTATTTACTTATAACTGTTCTTCATCGAAAAACTAAAAAGTAATATCCTTCTAAATTTCTGAAAATTTGAATGAATGTACAGTTCTGGAAGATAGTCCAGGATGATAGGAATCGTGCTGGGAATCGCACGTTAAAAGGTGAGACCTCGTTCATCCTTAGCTCGCACAAGTTTCGACTTTTGAAGGTTGTCGTTCATAGGGGAGCGACAGCTGGTTAACAGAGAAACAGTTACAAACTGAATTCGACGATATTTCCTAGTTCTTGCACAATACAGATGATCTTGGTGGTACTGTGTGCAATTTGAATGAGTTATCAGGAAGCTGAGACACATGTATACTCAGATTTATTCATACATGTGTAGACCTAAAAGTGTTAATTAATAAACACATTAAAAATACGGTTCAAAAACGGTAATTCCGATAATTTGGAACACATGAAGACATCTATAAAGTACTAATATTTTTTGAGTAGGAATTGGTTTTTCAAAGTTTTTCAAAATATAACTGAGACACTGCTTTGTTTTTTGATTTTGACAGTATGTATATTGATTCAATACGAACGTCGATAATCTCAACGAAAGTTCATTATAAATGATATTGGAGAATGTTATTCTCAACATCAATGTGTTTTATCTCCGCTAAAACGAATGAAGATTCTTGAAATGAATCAACTGAGTAATTTAATCATGAGTAAAGTTGTATTCTATTGTTGTCTCAAGTCAAATATCATCATCATGCAATGAGATCTGATATTCTTTATTCCGTGTACTCCTGTTGGCGTTCTGGGTTATAGCAACTTTGTTGTCTTTATATATCTTCTTGGTAATTGAAAAGTTCCTACATATTTTTCTTCACCTCTTCAGGTCTTGAGTTCACCAAGAAAGGTTTTACCTTGTCTTTTCATACAAGGTGAAACCAAATCCTTGAAAACCTTTACGAAGAAGCCAAGTCTCAGTGAAATTATGAATATTTTCCAGTACAGCAGGTAACAAATAGATACGTTCAACAACTTGAAACACATTGGCAGTGTTCGATATAACTGATTCACCAACATGTACTTCTATCGGACTTCAGTATCCTCTCAAAGTTCAATACCAGATTCAGAAAAGTATGTAGAAAAAAACTCTAAAGAAATCGTATTAACGTGGACAGTAACTGGCCTTGAATCTGTGATCACTTTTCCATACTTTGCTCTCCCATCATTATCCAAGTTTGTCTTGTACAGTGAGTGCAGGTACATCTCGTGCCTCAACTTCGAAAGAAACTGTGATAATGCAGTGGTGGATGACGACAAGTATGAGGTACAATTCGAGCCAGTGGATCCACTGTACAAGGTGTCCCATATAAACCTCCGCGAAAAAGAATATCCATATTTCGTGAAAGCAGATAATTTTGGTGTCAAAGGGTCCTCTTATTTACGTAGAGATCCAGCAATAGGCGTCATCCATTAGGACTTCGCGACACAAAATTGAACAGACAATGGAATCATAACTGATGGATTCATTTTATTAAACTTCATTTTGACTTATTAATGGTCCTCTCTTTATAATATGCAATAAAATTGCCTTTTTTCATCATGAGGTTGAGTGGAAGAACAACTCAGTAGCACTTCTGCTAACTGAGTTGAACTTCGCCTTTTGTTATGTCAACAACTAGCTCTCTAATTTATTTAAACATTTGTATGTAACTACAGCTGGGTAAAAATAAAGACGATTATTATTATTATCATTCAAGGAAAACTACAAGTGTGCCATATGGCTGAATTCAGAATTTAATGCAGAATCCAAAAACGAATCGGAAAATGTAGGTTACCATTTAAAAAACTTTGCGTCGGTGTTGCGAAGCCCTAATGGATGACGCCTATTGCTGGATCTCTTCGCGAATAAGAGGACCCTTTGACATCAAAATCATCTGCCTTCACGAAATATGGATATTCTCTCCCAGTTTTCAGATATTTGCCCGCGGAGTTTTATATGGGACACCCTGTATTGACCTAAGAAATTGGAAGATATGTTTCTTGCAGCATGAATGTTTTAGTATAACATCTGGAGGGTGTAATAGGTTTCCAGAAGTAGCTTCAGACTGGATTGAGTTTTTGACTCGATGTGTTGAGAAACAAGTATGTTGTCGAGACTTTATTGGCTCTCATTCAAGAACTCTGTAATATAGAAAAAAAAATCTTCAATAAGTGATGTTGAAGTGAAACCTGCAAACATTTATTTGGCTCTTTATGCATTACTTGGTAGCTAGGATGTTCAACAAATATTTGCATACTATGAACCTTGCCCTTGTAGATTGCGTTCTGAAATTCCATAATTAACAGCGCCTAAATGCCAAGACATGTGATTAAAATTTCGTGTTGATTTTGGATTGCCTGTTGTTTCAAGGAATAAATCAGCTTATTTTTGTTTGAAAAAGATTTATTGAAACGACCAACGAAAACTTTATCGCAATCGTTAAACCTCCAAGAAACATGCAATTATGTTAGTTGTACATTACGTAAGTACGAATATTTTAGCAACTATAAGAATGCTGGCGTTTATTTTTTTTTAACTTGAGTCTTTTTTGGTGATTGACAATGTGTTATGATTATCAAATGTGACATTATCGCATTCTCGGGTGGTGTATAGACGCTTGGCTAATAAGCAAGTCAGAATGAAGTACATCGAGTAAAGAAAGATACAAATATTAGGTGAACTGTTATTGATCAGAAACATATAGACGAAAGTAATAAGTATCCCTCAATATTCAATATGTTGATTAAAAAAAATTGAATTCAGAGAGTAAGGATCTTCGTAAATCCGCGAATGTTGAAAAGCCAAACGTTTCAGGTGTTAGTACTATTTGTGTAATTCGAGAAGATTTATAACCTGAAAGACAATATGACGGAAAGTAGGGGTCTGGCAAGGGCATCAGCAGGATTGTATATAGGGGAGCAGACAAAGAAAATCCTAGATTATGTTGTTTTGATCGTTGTTTTCAACGATATATGAGTTTCATATGAGCAGTGGAGGCAACAATTAAAAAATATATAAAAATCCGTAATAGTTTTATTACTTAACAATTAGTCTACGAGATTCTTCACAAAATCTTTTCGAAACTTCTCGTACAATTTCACTTTTTTTTTCTTCGACAACTTTCCGGTGAGCGCTCAGCATACATAAACCATTTGAACGGTTTTCGGTCATCGTAGATCGCAACCACGTTTTTACACGTCGCAAGGTCGAAAAATATTTTACTATATTGCTCGTTGGACACCGCTGTGCCAACGAAATAATGATAGTTTTTCTTGCAGCCGGGAAGAAGGTGTCCGCTTCCTATAACACATCTGTAAAGTCTAATATTTTAGATCTTCACTTTGTTCACTTTTATTTTTCCACAATTCATACCATAATTCCTCTTCATGTTCAAAATGAGGAAGATCGTAGTACTGGCAGATTTTTTTTTAAATCAACCAGTTTCATTTTTAACATTGAACTGAGATGTGGTAACACTGAAGTAAAAGGTGGTAAATGTTCGTTAAAAAACGCTATTCGAGTGCGGATATCAGTGAATCTGAATGAGGAATGACAAATGATCACTTCCAAAAATTGCAGGCACTCTCGGCTGGGTGATTAGACCTATGTTGTTGGCGACCTGTAGTTCGCGGGATTTGCAAATCAGTTTTTTGTTTTTTTAAGGACAGGAAATATCTTAAGGACTGTGCGAAAGTAGCGATTCACCTTGGATTTGAATCGATAGAGATTGAATCCATTTAGAATCACACGTGTTAAGAATCACACGTTAAAATGTGAGACCTCGTTAGTCCTTAGCTCGCACAAGTTCCTCAACTTCTGAGAATTGTCGTTTGTATGGGGGCGACAGCTGATTAACGGAAAAACTGATTTTAAACAAAACAACGTTCTCAGGAAGTTTATTCCACATTAGCGTGGTTCTCCAAATGAAAGAGTTCTAAAACAGTGAAGTTCGAGCAGCCACAGTCCGTCTCGTAATTTTGTATGTACTTGGTGGAATCAAATGTGCCAAATCACTTGAACACTTCCCGTGAAAGCATCTATAGAAGATAAACAAATATCCAACCTTTATTCGATGTTCCAGACTATCAAGGTTGCAAGTGATGTTCGCGTCTGCAATCAGGCGGATGGCTCTTTTCTGGATGGAATCCAGCAGCAGCTGATGAAGCTGATAAAGCTTCATAAATCATCAAAAGATGCTGAGGTGTGTACAGTTTTCTGGTTCGGAAAAGTGTTCCGCAGTTTTGAGAAGCAGCCTTTGCAATTCCAGCGACATGATTGTGCCAAGACATATTGGTGTCAATTTCAACTCTCAACAAACTTATCGAAGCAGAAAGTGGAATTGTCTGTCCTGACATTGTTATATCCGGTTAGGATACATTTATCTTTTTGGAGAAAACCGATGCCTGGGTTTCTGTGCCATTGAATTGAACCTGGTTACTTTCACCCCAAATTCGAAATCACTTCTAGATCCTCCAATGACTGTTCCAATGGCAGCTGCTATTTTATGTGAAATGTTCGAAATACTCTGACTTTCCCTGTCTGCGTCACCGCGATGATCTATAATAACGGAAATAATTTTCTTGATATGAACCGTACATGTGTACAAAGCAATTATCTTCGATTATAATGCATTGGCAGCATGTTCCAATATACCTGATGATTTGGCTAATAACGCAACGCATACAATGGATACTGATTTAGTGTGGTACAGTTCTGGCGTGTGGGAGAAACGTTTTTCTTGCATTTGTCTATGTAATTTGAACACAAAATCATATTTCTGTTTGGAATGGCAATGTCGTTTTGCTGTGTCAAAACTTAATATTTTTTTATTCCAAATGTTAAAAAAACCTGCTCCTTTGAGAAAAATGACTCACTTATTGTTTTTTGTTGCAGGCCTAAGGAAGTGTCGGCAAAATCGGGGGTTTCTGTGAGAGGCGGCAAACTTCGGTGTCCGGCCCCCATTTCTCGCTTGCGCGTTGAGAAAATCGAGGGTGGTCTAATGGTGGCCGGTGTCGTTGTTGCTGCAAATTGCCAAATCATTCTGCCCATTTTTGGGTTCCTGTTTCTCCTAGTTGGCTGTGTTCTTACCGGTGAGTTACAATGAATATTTATAAGTACGTCCCTACTTCTAGAGTACAATAAGTATAAAATTATATATTAATTACATTTGTATTTGTATATTCAAAACATAGAGAGAATATAGTGAGAATAGAATGATTTTTGTGTTCCAGTAAAAATACATTCTAAATTCTAAGTTATTTGTCTGTTTCTGAAATGAGATCTGAAAAAGTCTGCTTTATACATAAGAATACTGTTCAAAAACATAGTAACTTATTTTAAGTCACGAATATCAAAAATATTTGAGTCGTTTGATATTCGAACCCATAGATCTCATTTTCGTAAGGGAAGTAGTTATTGCTGGTATACTCCATTGGTTCACTTAGAGACAAAAGAGATCAAGTGTTGCATCCATGACCCGGCCAATATCACTGATGAGATATACGGCGGATCGAAACATCGCTGTCTATAGTCCGTTCATAATTTGTCGATAGCACAAAATGAGGGCCCAAGTCATAAAACGGTCGTAAAACTCGTAAAATCATAGGCTGAGGTTCCTGAGGTGTTTATTCATTAAATATAAAGCTTCAGTTTATATTCGAAACTTGCCTTGAAAGGGTGAAGTTGTTACGAACGAAAATAATTTTTGGTTTAGTACATTTTTTAATCGCATTTAATTTACGGCTCGTTGGTGTTTCGGCGTCTACGGCAGTAATTAACGTCTCTAATATTTATTTTGCGAATTTTGTGCAGTGCGTGAGTAACTTTTTTTCATATTCCTANTAAATAAAAATACAGTTTACAGTACCTACAGTTTAAGAATATTAATATATTTATTTATTTAAAGTAACTAATGTTTTAATCATATACTCTACGACACTGGTCACTCATTTCCACTCAAAATACCTACATAATCGGATTAAAAGTTTTATAGCTGTATTGTATTTCTTCAGATACAAGGTGGGTTAGTCGAAAACATCTTAAACTGCCAGTTTTAGTTTGGTTTTTGTTATTATATCATATTAGCTGTCCTCTCTGTATTTCAGTTCTCTAATGAGGGTCAAACTTGCAGTGAGCTATCAACAAATTATGAACGGACTATAGCTTAGAATCATGGACGCAACGGTTGGCTCTGGTGTCATATATATATACACAACTGACGTTTTTGAATATAGGATCGATAGAATCTATGTCATTCAGTCAGTTATCAAGTTTTTTAACCAAATTCCTCCACAAGAGGCGGTAAAATTCACAATCTACGATGATACTACAACGTACTTGACTTCCAAACGATTTAATTGAGAAAACTGAATTTAATCTATTGAATTTCATCATGTCAGTGGTACGAAACCAATAATTACCCTGACTCTTTCTAGAGATGTTTTCCGTGTTCGTCTCCTGGACTATTTCGAAAACAACTCAAGTACCTGCAAAATATATATTGTAACAAACCAAATTCAACCTAATAAAATAATGCAAAAATACGTTGGCAATAACCCCTATTTACGAACAAGATAGATAGATTCTCATTAGTTCGGACATACATTGTCTAATATTATATAAAATGATTTGAAATCCTTAAAATAACCAATACAAACAAAAAATTAAAAAGAATAGGTGAAAATAACAATTACATTAAGCGAAAAAACCCTGAAATGAAATTACAGTGAAATAAAATACAAGTAAAAAATAGAACGATTAAACAAAAAAAAATTAAGACATTCCAAACCAAGTTACTTGACGACATTTCGATTATTAGTATCCACAATCGTCTTCAGTCATTACCCGAAGACAATTGTGGATACTAACAATTGAAACGTCGCGTCGTGAAGTAACTTGGCTTTGAATTTTTCAATTTTTTATTTGATTGTTCTTTTTTTACTTGTATTTTATTCAACTGTAATTGAAGTGTCCAAACTAATGAAATTAATTATGAAACATTGTCAATCACCTTCAAACATTGATAGATTGGTTTCGTTACTGAGGTTTATATTGAATCAGTATACCACGCAAATAACCCATCGTGATACTGCTTTGATCATCGATTTCTGGGTTATTCACAAGAACATATACGGATTGTAGAGAACATATGTGGTGTTCGCCGAAGAAAGGTACATTGTGTCACAAAAAGAGTTTTGACTTAACTATGGTTTCAGAAACTTGAAAGCATGAAACGTGAGATTCGTAAAACTTGCAAAAAATGTTCTACATTTTTAGTTCTACATTTCTAGTTAGTTATCTTATGTTTAGAACCAGTCACTGAATAAAAGAACACGTACGGGTACGACAGATTCTTCAAGTTTTACAACGCTGATGCGTCGTAAAACTTGAAGTTGTGTATCATTCACATCTTCCTCAAACCGAACATACACCGTTTCACAATTTTCTGATGTAATATTCAAAGTTCGAGTTCATTTGAATAAAATAGAATTCATGAAAATTAATAATTCACGATTAAATTCTCACGAAAACTACGAAACGGAAAAAACATTTGTGATGGTAAGATAGAAAACCCAGAAATGAGAAGCGGTTACTTCAGAAAAGGTTACTTCAATCAGCTGTATTGTAACACAATCACAGTCTCGACAACTTAAGCTACCGCCACACTACAACGAGAATAAACATCGCAGATTGAAGGAATGACGTCACAGGTACTCAAACCAATTATATCAAAACCTTAGCCCCCACCGAAGGCGTGTACATAGTGGAAACACTGCTAAACTCTAAATGCTTTTTTCTGGTAAACTTATTTTCGTACAATACATTGATTAATGTAGTGACCGTTATAGAAGTTGGTCTGAATACTGACGAACAGTCAAGGTATAATACGGTGAAACACTGTCCCGTTTTGAAACATTGATTTTGTTCAACATTTTCTATGGGTCATTGCATTCACTTAAAATATTGACACAGTTAAGATAAGATAAGATAATTTATTGATCTTTCAGATGTATACAAATAAGATAGGTCACATATACACACATATACATTACCAAACAATGAATATTATACTTTTTCGCCGTTTATTTGTGTTTCTTTGGTTAAGACAGCTATATACTCTTCAGTAGAGTAAACACAATTAGTATTCAATATATATTTCAGATACTTTTTGAACAAATATTGATTTAACTTTTTGACATGGGGAGGTAGAATATTGTATAAGTTGACATCGATAGAGTTTCTGCTTGACTTTTTCAGTCTGAATCTACTGGTCCTCAACAAATCACATCCTCTAGTCTCATGATCGTGGAAATCACAATTTCTGTTTAATGTTAATTCATTTTTATGAATGCCTATCAAAATTTGATACAGATAAATAGAAGATACTGTAATTATTTTCATCGAAATAGTTTCTCAGTGATGAGTTTTGTCTTCACTCTCAACACATTTAAAGATAAACACAATTGACTAATTCAAATCGAACCACAAATAGACAAATTTTTATCTGCAATCGAAAATTCAACCTTGTGTTCGTGACAATACCTATTATTCATTTCCCTTTCACGATAGCATGTTCTTGAAAAAAAGTCGTCCATCCCTTGCGCCAGCAAATTATATATTCTGACATTTCCAAGACCGCAAACAAGGAAAATATCTGACATCCTGTTGTAAACTAAGTTCTATTTTCAGCTACAAAACAGGGGTTTCGAATATGACATCGAAAATGAAAATCAACATAAAAATTCATAAGTGGGTTGAGGTTTTCATTTGGTGATTTTTAATTAGATGTATCCGCAGAGACGTTCATCTATCATTAAGACTTTTGATTACTCAAGAAATAATATGTTGACTATTCAGCTAAGCAACTGCACAAATAATATCATTTCTTTGATATAGAAAGCACTTGACAATATCCGTTTTCAAAGCAGCTGTCAAATTTGCAATTTCGGAGTTTTTTTGAGTTCTGGTGATGTAATGAAACCTGTAGATGATCACTGAATCCTTTTCACATTCTCAAGTAAACTTTCAGTGATGAAATAAAGTTTAATAGTAAATAGAAGTTGGTTTGATTATTAAATTTGTCATACAAGCGTAATTTTTATTCAAAAGTGTTCTATTCTCCCACAATATTACCGTGGTGAAGTGAGGAAACAGTGGCTAAATTCTTTACTCAATAAAAGGAGCTATATTTTGAAAATTGGCAAGAATACGTTTTTTTGGTATTAAATATTCTTAAGTATTCTCGAGACAATATATTTTGTATACAATGTTAATGTGTAAACACATTCATAAAAATTATAAATGTGGAAATGAAGTGTTACATTTACAAAAGCAAACCAATACTGAAGGTTGAAGACACGATTCTGTTCAAAAATCTGTTTTTCCGTTAACCAGTTGTCGCACCCTTTCGAACGACAACTCTCAGAAGTCGAAACTTGTGTGAGATAAGGACTAAGGAGGTGTTACCTTTTAAAGTGTGATTCCTAACACAATTGGTCTCTTTAAAAAGGGGGTAGAATCTAGGAAGAAGTCCAGAACTAGTAGGTTTTCCTCGATATTCTTGAAATTGGACTGAAAAATCCGTAACCAGTCTAGTGGACATCAAGTTAATGTTGCTCAGAAATTATGAACAACAAACTTCACCACATCGAAGTTTGTGGAGGAATGTTAAGTAAATCGTTACGTCTAATATCGATCTAGTATCGCTGGAACTATAATTTCTCAATTGCTGCATGTGTTTTTGAAACATACAAACGAAGAATCTCGTCATTCCATTTGGATTCCAGGACATCAGCCGCGGATGCACATCTTCAATGGAAGCAGGAGGTTGCATGTCTTACTGAGGATCTAGAAATGATATCGAATTGAAATGAAACTAACAAAGTTCTATTCAATGCCACAAAAACCCAGCCATCGGTTTTCTCCAAAAAGATAAATGTCTCCAAACCAGATATAATAATGTCAGGACATACAATACAATGGCTGCTTTGATAAATTTGTCGCTGGAATTGCAAAGGCTGCTTCTGAAAAGCTTGGAACACTGAGGTGGTCCTTTTCACCAGGAAAAGAAGTTCATCGGGCAGCAATGTCGTAGGACAGTGGAACGCGCATGGGGTCTATCACCCCGTGTGGTCACCTGGATCTACACTGCAATAATAATACCTATTTTAACGTACGGAGCCATTGCATCGGGACCGAAAGTTCTACAAGCAACGGCCATCCAAAAATTATATCAAATACAGCGACTGGCTTGTTTAAACATCACAAGAGCCATGAGAACAATACCAACCGCGGCAATGGAATTAATTACCGGTCTGAACCCTCTGGACCTGTACGTTGAGGAGGTTGCGTTAATGGCCATGTTACGATTGCGCACGGCTGGTGTAAACCTCGGAAGTAGGAATCGGTCAATTGAGGCTGGGCCTATGGCGGGAAGCGCTTACTGCGCAACCTCTGCTGCAGGCAACCAGTGATGCAATTGAACCCAGGTTTGTGTTTAATAAACATTACAAAATACAAATAAAATAGAACACAAAGTCAGATGCTACAAATGCAACACGCATATATACAGACGTCTCAAAAACCAAAGAAGGCTCAGGATGTGGAGTATACTCCACATCACTAAGCCCAAGGATTAAGTGGGGAATGGAAAAAAATACCAGCGTGGTATAAAATATAACAATCTGCACTGAACAGACGTGTTACCTCAGTTCTAGAACTAGAGTGCCACCAAGATTTAGCCAAAGCCTGGGTAGATAATAACATTATCCTGAGGTGGATTAAAGGCCACGACAGGAGTAAAGGTAATTACTTTCTGCTTGGATAAGTTTGTCGCTGGAATTGCAAAGGCTGCTTCTCAAAAGCTTGGAACACTGTTCCTAACCAGAAAACTGTACACACCTCAGCAACTTCCACCTAACCAAACAACTTTCAACCTTCTTTGGAGTATTGTTCTCCTTTATGAAGCTTCGCCTCTAAGCATACCCTGAAGCTGCTGGGTTCCATCCAAAAAAAAACCTTCTGCCTGATTGGAGACACGGACATCACTTGCAACCTTGATAGTCTGAAACATCGAAGAAAGGTGGGAGATTTGTCTTTCTTCTAAACATACTTTCACGGGAAGAGTTCGAGTGACTTGGCACATTTGATTCCACCACGAGCGGTACATGTCAGAAATACTCGAGGGACTGTGGCTGCTCATCGTTTTGAGATTCAACTCAGTTAACCTACCTTGAACATCACTGTCTGAGAACTCTTTCATTTGGAGAACTGCGTTTATGTGGAATAAACTCCTCGAGAACATTTTTCCGAATGAATTCAATCTCCAGCGATTCAACTCCATTGTGAAAATGTCGAAAATTTACGCCAACCGATATGCCGACATCCTCAGAAACTCCTTAAATAGTGATTCGTCTATTTTCCATAACAATTTTCTTCACTTTCTCAACATTTCCATCGGTTGTTGATGTGCTGGTGCGTCCAGGGGGGGCGTCGTACACATCTTCTCGATCTCTGTGAAAAGAGTGTACAACTTATAAATATTTTTCTGACTCAGAGTATAGTCAACGTATGTCACTGTCAACATTCCAAGTTCTTTCGAGGTTCAATTCCATTTTTTACACAAAATTTGATGCAAATTCTTTGATCCATTTTTTCGTTAGCAGAAAATCGCCGAGCACGGAAAACACTTTTGTTGCTTCTCACCAACAAACTAAACATGCTAATTAGCTGAAACTATGCACATATGTTTGAGATGAGTGTATAACATAAAAACTCGCTAATCGAATATACTTAGTCCGCGAAATTTGAACATTCACGTTATTTTTTTAACAGTCCACGTATACCTACTAGGAACTCTTCCGTTAGGTCGAATAAAAAAGAAATTGCATTTTTAATGAACTAATTTGTATCTCTTAACAAAACAAGGTATTATTGAATTCAAACATAAAAGTTATGCATCTCTTTAATATTGTCTTCAATCATTTGAAATTCATTTCAATAAATAAAATATAACCTTGAAAAAATTGTTATAAAACTCGTGATTTCAGATCACGATACTATCTATAAAGTTCATAGATAGCGTCAGAAAGTTTACTCAATTCGTTATTGTGATGAGGAATTAATGGTTTTACTTTTGTTCTGGTTAAGATAAGACACGGTAAGATAAAACAGTCTAATGGTTTTGTTGATCACAGTTGCGGTATATACCTGCTGAACAACGATATTGGTGACCAAGCCGACAATCTTATCATAACAACAATTATGAGTAACCAAATTATCATACAAAAACAGCGGAAAAAGTAACATAAGACGTTCACTATCCCTCTGCATGTCTACTTCGTATAAACTTTCGAATTTCGTTGGTACGAAACCCATGATTTATATTAGGTACTTTAGGTTTGTTCTGGTTCTACGAAATTCAGATTCTAGGACGTCAGGATCATGCGCAGTTGATATAGAGCGTTCTGGTTTATTGAAGATAAGTTCGGATTGATGAATTCTCTGTTTCGGTTTCGACTACGAAATGATCCTAAACTGTCTTGAACCGTCCCGAATCGTTCTTGCTCTCGAGGCTGAACTGTTGAGAACTGGCGCCGTTGCTCATGCGCATTCATGTGGAAATTTGTTTGGGCTATTTTCTAGAATATTTTTAATTTATTTGCTTCAAATAATTGATGATTGAGGTTAGATAACATTTGAACTGACTACAAGGAAACGCTACATAACAAAATTGACATGATCAACAGTATTTTCTCGTCTTCATCTCTTCATATATACGATGGGTGGCACAGTGGTCTCCCCAAAATGTGTTCTGGTTTAACCAAGTGTCCGAGACTATAGGTTTGTTCTGGTTCTAACATCCGAAACTGTTTGGAAACAACGCAAGACATGATGCGTACAAGCAAAAAATCTAAAATAGTTCGAAATAGTCTCGGACACTATTATTGCATATTGGCATTGTCAAATGCTCATGCATTTGACTATTAGCCAACACGTTCTTTTGATATCTCCACAATGTCAGCTAACTTCCGCAACTTTACTTTTCAATCATTCAAAATGATTTTGTATTTTTTTTTCTCCTGTTACCGCCTCATTTGGACGTCCACTGTATTCTGCATCATCGGTGTCTCTACGACCACGTTTGAAATCAGAAAACCAACGTTTAATTGTTGTTTCTTATAACACTTTTCAAACCATTGCTTCACTTAAACGGTGTGTTTTTCTCATCAAGAAGCAGGGTAAAATTAAAACACGAATTTTTGTATCCATTGTTTTGAAAATAACAAAACTAGTATCACTGTTACCACAATAACTCATAAACTTATGAGTGGACTTTCATGAAATTTCAGTTAGTACTAACCTTCTTTTGAAGGTTAGTACTAACTGAAAATGCGGTGAATGCAAGATATGCACCATCTATGTGTTAGTTCCGAGACTTTTCAGCCCATGTTGTAAACATGGATAGACAAACGGATCAGTCCATTTATAATTTGAGACGATTATCTATGATCCCTACAATAGCACCTATTTTATTGTGGACTATATTTTTTCAGCCGCTTCTTATAGAGGTCCGGGCGAGGACGAGGAACCAGATCGCTATGAAGCCCGGATAGCATTCACGGGCAATTCCAGAGTCCTGGGTCCAGCCTGTATAGTTGTCGGATTCTTCATGCTATTGGCTGGTTGTATACTGTGTGTCTTGACGCGAAGAGCACGAAGAAGGGAACAGACAATCGGATTTCACTGTCCACTTCATGGGGACTTTTATCCTCTTAGTCCTATTACTAGTTCAAAAACTTTAGGTGAGTAAATGCTGTTTGAAATATGATTAGTATCAATTGGGGTGTCCCGGTAGATTCCAATAAAATTTTTCTATGAATTGTCAAGATCGTTACTCAGGAAGTGGCTTTGATATATTCCTCAAGTATCAAACTTGTGAAATTTGTGTTTCCCTTTTCAACACGCTTTTATTAGCTTCACATGTATGTATGTATGTATGTTTATTTGTTTGTAACTCTCAAGCTCGAGATCTGTATTTGATATATCGACATTATTGCTTGACCTATTCGCGGGCAGATGGCGCTGTACGTAACCTCCTTGATATAATTCGAACTCACTTTACATATATTTCTTCATTTGGAAAAAGTATTTTTTTATTAACACGCGCGCTTGCTGCCTTATTTGTAACCCTCCTTTGCGCGCCTGCTGCCTTGGGCTTGGTAGCTGATTTTCAGGCTCACTCTCCGGAATCGGAAAATATCAATAGTCATTTTTCTAAACAATGTTCGACTGATTGATCCCAAAGTTTATATAAAATAAATAAAGTTTAAAAAGACTAAAAACTCGCTTTTAGAGCATACGAAACTAAAAAATGAAAAATAAATATAGTTTAAAAAACTAAAAATCACGCTTTTAAAGAACATCAAACTAAAAAGTTAAAAATACTTTTTTTAAATAAGCTTAAAACAATAACGAACGAAAAATACTAGTGTTATTGTGAAAAAAGC